TACAAATAAATCCAAAAGGAAGTGGCCTAAGATACTTTTGATCTCTCAGAGACCCTAATGTCATTCTCAAAGGGTGCTCATGATCACAGTTTCTTAGAAGGAGACAGGATATGGAATTATAAATAAACAGCAACCTAAGCATTATAGAAGATGTAGGATTATCCTCTGTGTGGACTTAACCATATCTAGTTTATTTTTAAGCCCACAGACAGACAACTGATGCTTATCTGGTATAAAGTGAAACATGGTTAGGTTGCACCATGACCCAGCAGGTGCATGATAAAGGTGTACTACCACCTTAGCTTCAGACAACTAGTCCTGATTCCCACATTTCTAGATTCATATGTGTGCCGGTTTACCCACACCTAACTCTATTTGAGACAGAGTTTCCTGCAGAGAACACTGTTTCTTTCGAGCCAAATAGAACTTACTTGCCTTGCCAAAGGGAGAAAGTGGACCAGGTCAATGGGTCACCACTGATTCTGGGTATTTCCATTTCCTGAACTCTAGCTCAGTGGGAGGACATCTTGGCTGCATATTGGAGCCATCTGAGGAACTTAAAAAAAAAATACTGATGCTCGTATGCTACTCCCAGAACTTCTGATTTGATTGGTCTGGATTACACTCTATGGATTCAAAGTGAAGCCAAAGTCAGGAACCACTGCCTTACTTTTGGTCTCCCCATTTCTAGGATGGGCTCATAAATACCACCTCATTTGCCTCTTGGGAGAGTGCAAAGAAGACAGTATATGCCATTAGAGTTCCTCACATTCCTGAATTCACTGGTTTCCCTTCTTCCTTTATCTCTGGAGAGGAAATAGAAAGGGAAGGAAATAATGGTGGCCATCTTGGGAGGGTGAGAAGGGGGGGCCCTTCCCCAAGAGCCCTCCAAGCTCTGCCAGTTAGCAGGTCATTAGGGTTAACCAACTATCTTTTGTCAAAGTAATCACTTTTGAAGGATTAAGCCTCAAGCTCACCTTAGTGTGAATTACTTTAATCAGATAATCTCCTATCACCTAGTTGAGGATTTGTTGTTGAGGACCCGAGGGAAGCAAGGAGAGAATTGCAAAGCCAGCCTGGGATTCACGGAAGGTGAGGTGAGGAAGCCCGCAGTCTGGGAACTAGTCTTGGCCCTCAGTAGGCTAACAGCAGCATAAAAAATTAGAAAAACAAACTTTCTTCTCACATTGCTAGGGCAGTGATTTGTTCAAAGTGTTCCTATGATCAAGTTGTTGTCCGTCTCATGGCCCTTTATGACTTTTCTGTCTTTCTTTCTGCCAGGAAGCACTTAACACGTGCGAGGTAATTTTACCATTTGCCAGCTCTTGGGAATCTGTGAGGAGCAAGGCCTGGCGAAGCCCTAGCCTCCTTACCATCTGCCTGGCACATGGTGAGCACTCAGGGTTTATTGAATTTAATTGAATTGTTTCATTTACTACACTTTTTTTCCCCCAAAAGTGTGAGGGTTTTTTTTTTTTCCACATCTACCCCCCCACCCCCACCCCACCAACTAAACTAGACTGTGAGTACCTTGAAGAAATCTTAATAATTTCTGGGTATCCCCGGTGCCAAGCACAACTCTTGGCATATAATCAGTGTCCAATAAATATTTGTTAAATGAATTAAGAAGCAATAGCCAGCATACCAATGCCTATGTTAAGATATTAGAATTAATTTATGACTGTACTGCTCAGTTTCCACACTATTGGACAAGGCATAGAGGGGGAAAAAGAGAAAAACATGTGTATGTGAATCTCCCACCATTTATTAATGCAACAAAAGTTGTTCTTTCTCAAAAGTCCTTTAGGACACCTGTTGAGAAATGGTCTGAAGGTGATTTCTGGAAAGAGAGAGGTAATAAGGAATAAGAGGGGCAGACAAGATCCAGAGAGAACCCAACAATGGAATGAGAAAACAGAGGGACATAGATGATCATAGAAGCCCAAAGAAAGAATGCCAAATACAAAATGAGTAGAGAGATAAAATAGACATTCAGGAAAGGAAAAATCAACCTTGCTATTGGCATTTTCAGAAATTTGTTTGCCTTTAGGAACCAGTAAGGCAATGGCCATATTTTCAGATGCTTTTTTTCTACATAGAGTCAGCAGGTAGAAATGTTTGCATTATGGTACATAAAGAGTTACACTATAACATTTACACTATAAGACCTATTAGATACTATTTTTAAAAGATTACAGGAGATTCTGGGCTAAGCCACAACACACAATTTTATGAGATGGTAGAAAGCATTTCATAGTATTACATATAATTATATACTATAAACATGCATAGGTAATACGTCCACTTTGGCTTCTTGGCTACCTGTTTCATATCTATTGTTATTTATTTTTAAATTTTTTTAAAGATTTTATTTATTTCTTTGTCAGAGAGAGAGACCACAAGCAGGGGGAGCGGCAGGCAGAGGGAGACGGAGAAGCAGGCTTGTCATCGCCGAGCAGGGAGCCCGATGCGGGACTTGATCCCAGGACGTTGGGATCATGACCTGAGCCAAAGGCAGATGCTTAATGACTGAGCCACCCAGGCACCCTTTGTTTCTTTAGGGTGTATTTCCTGGGCTGGAATTGCTGTGTCATAGAAAATTTTCTTTTTCAGCCTTTCCAGATAATACCAAGTTACTTCCCAAAATGACTGCCTTAATTCACACTCCTGAGTTCTTACATCTTTATATAGCATTATGTCACATAAATTTTTGCTTGCTTATTTTGTAATAACTCTGTTAGCAAATAGAGGAAGATTGCTTCTCAGTGTCCCAAATAAGAAAGGAAAATTCAAATTGTATGTCATTCATCTTTTTTTTTTTTTTTTTAAGATTTTATTTATTTGTCAGAGAGAGAGCACAAGCGCACAAGCAGGAGAAGCAGCAGACAGAGGGAGAAGAAGCAGGCTCCCCGCTCAGCAGGGAGCCCGATGCAGGACTTGATCCCAGCGCCCTGGGATCATGACCTGAGCCGAAGGCAGACGCTTAACCGACTGAGCCACCCAGGCGTCCCTGTATTTATTTTTGTAACTGCTTTATTTATTAAAAGACCATTATTGTACATTTTCTTTTCCTTAGTGACAGTTCTTATTAAAAAAATGTGTATATCCCAGGTAGAATGTCAATATGCTACATATTAGACACATTAATTCAGGATCTGGGTTATAGGTTGTGAAACACTACACTGTGGGTCAGGAGTCTTGGCCCCTCATTAGCTGCGAGGTTTTGGTCAAGGGTCAATTGTCCAGTACCCATAACCTCATGTAATAAATGAAAGTTCAAATGAATGACATGAGAGATGTCATTTGTTTTATAAAGTTATACTATGAGATTAAGTGGGAAAGAAAACAGAACACAAAATTGCATATATAGTAAGTACAATGTCAGCTATGTAAAAAATGTGTTGAGAAAAACCTGGAAGAATATAAACTGTAGTATGACCAGTGACTATCTCTGGGAATTGGAATCACTGCTGATTTATATAAAAAATATTCTATTTTCAGTCATTTTGAATTTTCTATACTGTGTTGACTTCAAGAAAGAAAGAAAGTGTGTGCAAGTGTGTGTGTATGCACACAGACACACACACACACCCCAAATATCTCACTTCCCTCAAGGCATGGAGGTGGTCACCTTACAGATTCTCTTCAGTTCTCAGATGTAAGATTCTAATGTTCACTGTATCTCACTGTTAAGGGTTTTCTGCTGGCCTCCAGCCATTTGCTGCCCCTTGCCCTCCTGGCAGAGCCCACTCTTTTTGGTGCAACTCCTGCATTCTGTTCTGGGACTAGACCATTAGCCTCCACACTAACAGTCAAGAGAGTACTCTAGTTATATCTGTGAAAACCAAATCTGGATCGTGTGCCATCCTCCACCTCTAATACAACCAAACACTTGGCTAGTTCCCACTGACCACAAGTCTAATGACTGCAGTTGTACATTTTGAGTGTGATTAATTTGATTAGGATTCATTGTTTTTCTCACTTGACTGTAGGCTCCTTGAAGTTAGGTGTCCTGTTTGTTTTTATTCACCATTGGACTCCTAGCTCTAGTGTGAAATCGGGATTCAAGGCTCAAGACCTCTAGTTCCCACTCCTTTGAATGGTCTTTCCGCCAGTGTTCTGCCTCTCCTTGAGGACTCTGCTGATCTCGGACTACCTCAGTCCTTGACCATGCCCTTGAACACACACCCTCCCTCCCCAGTCCCGCTAACCTGCTTTCTCCTATTTCACAGCGCTTACTGCCATCTGAAATTGCTTCCCATGTTTACCTGTTTCTTTATATTTATGCTTTCCTTGTGTAGTGCCTGGCTCCTCCTAGCAGCCTGTAAATTCCTTGAGGGAAGTGTTTGGGCTGTGCTCCTATCTCAAACTCTACTACCCAGAACAGGACTTAGCACAGTGGATGCTCAATAGACATTTGTGAAATATGGAACAGAGTGATTATGTGAAGAGTATTTTCTGATAGGAAGAAGGATGGAAGAAGGGGGAAAGTGGGAAGAAGAAGAAAAAAGGAAAGAAAAAATAGAGGAATAAAGAACTATACTGAAAATCTTGGGTGGCCCTTCTTTACATTAAACTTGGGGAATGTTTATGCCTATATTAGAGTTTCTTGTTGCCCCCAGTGTTTTTAAGAAAAGCAATGACAATAAATGGCCCGGGAGAGTCAGAAGACATTGATGCCAGTTCTGTTCTGTCACGGTGCCAATTTACTTATACAATGTTTTCTGGTCTAACAAAGGAACAGGGCCAGATAGTCTCCAACACTCCATTCCCAACTAAAATTCTGTGGTTCTAAACTTTTAATTCTGAAATGTATGTTTTATATTGCCCTATTGCCAGATGTCAAAATAATTATATTGATTTAGATTCAAGCTTTAGTTAAAATAGCTTGAGATATGTCCAAATATTTGTAACTCAGTTTTAATCTTTATAAACATTTTAAGACAAATATGTTGATTTTACATAATATTTTCACACTTAAGCGGTTTATACATTAAGTGGCACAAAAATTATACATACAATGTGTTGTATTATATAGCATATTATACATACATAATACATAATACATAATAGAATATAAGTTATTTATATTTAAATACTGGCTATGATTTTAAAAACTTGGTGTGTGAAATATATAAGGTCCTTGAAGGTAAACTAAAATCATCTGACTCTATCAGTATATTTATTCAGATACCTAAACAAGTTTGAATCCAGGCTATAGAAGAGTGCCTCCCTCCTCCACTGTGAAAGTTAATAGAGACACATTTAATGTATCTGCTTAAAATGGATTCTCCATACAAAAACGTTTCCAACTCTTCCCTGCCTTCCAGAAGCTTCTTCTCTCAACCATATGTATTTAAACATGGACTAGAAAGCAAAAGATCTACATCTGGGTCTGTTTTGGCACTATCCTGCAATGGATTATTTTTATCCTGGTATAATAAAAACAACATTCCTAGATCAGTGATTCCAGACCTTTTCATATTTTGACTTTTAAAAAGCATACCTTCTTGGGATGTTTTCACTGAGTTTTTTGTTTGTTTGTTTGTTTGTTTGTTTTGCCAGGAAAGCCAAATTACATCTGGGAGGCAGTGAGAACTTACTGAGCTATAAATGCGGTTTGTAGGACAAGGAAGATAACAATTCATACACACACACACACACTCACACACTCACACAGGTGCCTTAAAGACTCCCAGTTGGGTGAAAAAGATAAATGCTACCATTTCCTTTATCTGTATTACTGGTAAACCAGCTAGTTGATATTATCTCTAAAAACCATACTCCTTAACTGCATTTCTATTGGGATTCATTGGTATAATTAAAACTTGAATGGTCTGAAATATTTCAGGAACCTGCAGTGAACATTCTTTCCTTTATCTGAAAATGTGGTTTTATTTCATCTGAAATTGTTTTCTCTAATTTCCCTCTCCACCCACAAATGACCTTCTTTTTGTACTTATGGATCTACTCACTCATGAGCCCATGAACTGTAAGTACACTTCACAGAAGCAAAAGAAACCATACTGCTCATGCTTTCCTGGCACTGAGGGAATATCAGTGGTATTCTAAATGGGAAACTATTTACTTTTTATTACTAATGATTTTTTAATAATTTCCATAATTTAAAACGCAGTCAGAATGCTACTGGTAGCTGAAAGCTGGCAATATGGTTTAATATTTTTAACATATGATCTGGTGTTTGTTACAATGCTTCAAAATTTTCAGCGTCATTACTCATGTTATAGTATTATCAATAATAATAAATTAAGCTAAATCTGTGGCAAACTAGTTTTATATCACAATTCATTTTGATTCATTTTTGAATCCTAGATAGACCATTATTTTATAGGAGTTTTTCTTAAGCATCCCTTTTTCTTTTATCTAATATAAAATAACATTTTTTTTTCTCTTCTTTGTCATTTACGAGGATGTTTATTTTACTGTTTCCAACATTCAAGGGTCTTTCTTGTATTTCTTTGTAATCTGTTTGGTGGAGCAGAAAATCTGTCTCAGTTTCAATTTCTCTTTTGTTCCCAGAACTTCCCCCCTCCTCCAGTGCTGAAGTGGAAAAATAATTTCCCCTCTTGCACCATACACAGGTTCAAAGTCCTGCTTTTCACCACGTTGCTCCAAACAGCAAACTTTCTAACCCACAAGAAAAAAGAACACCAAAGTTCTAACTTGGAAGTCTACAGGGGTCTGAGAACAATTGAAAATAAATTCCTACAACGGGGATTAGGCCTTAGCGGTTCATTGGACATTCTGAGAGGTGCGTGGAAGCCGGCTAGGGCACCAACCTGCTAGCAGACGCATAGGTGGCCCAGCTCAGAAGTCAGGGTCCGTTGTCATGGAGAATGAAAGGCAAATTGAAGACATTAAAAGGCAAGTAGCAAACAATCCAGTAGGCTAAGCCAGGGATTTGGGAGCTTCCCAAGGTTCCTCCCTTCCTCATTCCCTGCATGAGTCATTTTTCCAGTCTGTCCACACCCATTCACCCTTCTTCTATGGGCCACCACCCCACACTCCCATTCACCCTCAAGCTGCTGCCACAGGATCTTTCTGAAATACAAGTCCAAACTCTACCTACCCCCTTGCTGTGTAAACTCTTCCAGTTCATCATGGTTTTCAGACTAAAGCTGAGGCTCCTTGGATTAAAACAGACCTACTTTTAGCTCATCTCCTGCCACTCGCCTACACTTATCCTTCCCTCACTTCTAACAGGAAAGTTGGCAGGTCCGTTGTATTTGCCATGCTCTTTTCTCCCACTTGACCAGACTCAACTCCCTTTCCATCTTATCTTGTTAATTGCTATACACTTTTCAAGGCACCTGTTGAAAATAACTCCTCCAGGAAGCCTTCCCTAACCCTCCTCAGGCCCCCTTTGGCTTGCCAACACCATTTTAGCATTTATCCCTGAGGCAGAGTTAATTGGTTTATTTGTCTTCTCCCTAGCAGTATTATCATCATCTAGGGTAGGGGCTGTGTTACCCATTCTCGTATCTCTGGCATAGCAGGCGTTCGATGTAGTTGTTGAAATGAATGCTGAATTAAGAAAAAGGCATTCCTCATAGCTACTAATTGGCAGATAGAGAACGCCCATTCCTGTTCTCTGAGAAAGTGTCAGTGTCCTTTTTAGTTTGCTTCGACTGTGTGTGCACTTGGGTACTTTTCAATGATTAACACTGAGAAGTAGGGCCATTAATTAATTTATTTGTTATGGAAGGCAGCAGTGCACAATATTAACTGTTTTGTGGATCTAGCCAAGGGTCAGAACTCAAGTCTGTTATTAATGCCTCTTACTCCTGAACTTTAGCACCTTTCACGATGTTTTCCCTTTTCCTTCTTAAGCCGGCGCCACCCTCTTTAACACAACAAAGTTGTAGGAGGAACATGGCACCATATCCACCATTTCATTCCAAATTTTGTCCAAAACATGGAACCAATGTTTTAAATTAGAATCATTATTGAACAAGTTATCAAAATTCCTTAAATTCAAAGGAAATTCTGCCCCCAAATCTCCAAAACATTATCACATCACTTTAGTCCAGAATTCTTTCCATTCAAAGTGAAGCCAAGTTGCATCTTATAACACCCAATGAATTATGATTTGGGGCTGTGGTTTGTTTTGCTCCAACAATAATATGACCTAGTTGCCTTGGAATATTCCAGTATTTCAGAAAATGGTATTTTATTTTCAGGGAAGGGTCTCTGCTTCCTATAAATCATGTAATGCAGAGTTGGGAAGAAAGGGGATTTTACATTCCAAATATTATTTACAAGCTAGCCTGGAAGCTGCAGTGGGAGTTTTTGTGCTTGTGTGACAATCAGTTTTACTAAAGAACTGCAAAACTGTGGACACCCTGCTACTTGAGGAAGAGACACACTGGCAGTCTTGCAGATGTTTTTCCCGCCTGTGAGCCATCCAGGTTCAAAAACGGTGTGGTGCATTTTAAGGCGGCAGCCCCATCAGATCCCTGCCGTTTTCTGCCCATCTGATTCTCACCTTCAACCTAACCTTGCCGGCCTCCTTACAAAAAGCCTCATCCGCCGGCCTCTTTAAAAAACGAACCTATGTGTCCGCCCGGCTGGTCGGAAGGAGCAGAAAGTAGTAGGGGTGCGTCCCGTTCGCACTATAGCTCGGCTGTTATAATGTTGAACGTGTAAGATGGAAGATACCACCGGTTGGCTGCGGGGATGCACCTCGCCAGCGCCGGCTCCGGTTTCCTTGTGCTCCCGGCGCCGACCCGCGAGCGGCAACGACCACCCCTTGCGGACTTTGTTCGGTTGAGGGGCGCCAGTGCGGCCCGGGCGAGGGCGGGAGGGCGGCGGAAAGTTGGAGAGCGTTTTTTCGCCGCCGCGTGCGTCCGGGAGCTCGACGAGTCCGCCCCGGGCTTCCTGGTGGGGCTGGGCTGGCGGGGGAGGGGCCGCGCAGCAGCAGCGGAAACCAGACCTCGGCGATAAGAGGCTGCACAGCGACATGCAACAGTCTTTTCACTGCAGCTGAATGAGTTGTGGCGCTCACAATGCTCCCGTGACCGGGAACTGACAAGTTCAATTTTAAATCGCGGGCCTCTTGGAATCATGACTCCCACAATGCCTTGGGCACTCGGTCGGCAGTCGGGCTGCCTCTGAAAAAAAAATGTGAGAGGTAAGTTTCCATTTTCACAGTTTCCTTGCGCTGCTCTGCTGCTCTGCTGCTCTGCTGCTCTGCATTGTTTGTACTCTTTCGGGGCTGTACATGGCTGAAGGAGGAAGTGAGAGGAGGCTTTGGCCGGCTGCGTCTCGTAGCGGCAGAGGCTGGCTCGCCACTGTGGATGGTTTTCTATCGCACACCATCTCGAGCTAGGGGGAGAGCGGGAGGTTGCAGCTGCAGCCCAGCTCCGAGCAGCCCTTCCCCGGGCGCTGCGGACACTGTCAGAGCGCAGCCAGCTTCCAGTTTGGCAGCCTAGACAGAGAGAGAAAGAGAGAGAGAGAGAGAGAGAGAGAGAGAAAGAGGGGGGAAATGAAAGAAACAGGTGCGTGGAAGTGTACTTACAACTTAATGACCTTCGTCAGGCGAAGATGCGAGTCCATCAGACGCGAGCCACGGTTTCTCCCAAGAGATCCCGCATCCCTGGCCCCGGGGCTGCCGTCCAGCCCGGTTTTCATCTGGGCCAAATATGTGCACGCAAAGGTTAATTCTCTGCCTGCTACCCATAAATTACGCATGACATGTTTAGCTGGCCTTCCTTATATGGAGAGTGCTGTATTTCAGTCCAGTTTGCCTTTTGCCAAGTTTACAGGGCGGAAGACGCCCTGCATAAGAGGGCTCCTCTCTTTCTCTTTCTCTCTCTCTTTTTTTTTCTTCATCGTTTTGTAGTGCGTCACTCAAAAACTGTAAGAAAAGTAAGTATAGACGCTCTCTGGGTGGAGCCGCAGTTGGTTGATTGAATTGCTTTCATGAAAGGTTGAAAAGACTGGAAAGTAGTTAGTACTTGGGTTCTGGTTTTTAGACAAAAGCAGGACAAATATGTGCCCCCCCCACCCCTGCACTTTTTTTTTTTTTTTTTTAAACGGAGCCGGAATCTGTTATTGGTAGTAATGTGTCATGTGAGAATACTTTGATTCCAGAGCCTGTAACACGAGCAGGTATATGGTGGAGCTTATGCTTGCCCCTCTCACAGCACTTTACAACTACAGGGGTGTTGCTAGAAGAGTGATTGTGTTTTTAAGTCTCTCCCCGGCCGGGAGAATATACGGCTGCTGGGATTTGGTGGTGTATTTCCGTGGAGTGTGCTTCCCTAGGATTAAGACGGAGTAAGAAGCTGCCAGACAGGTTATTGCCACTGTCTTTACTTTGTGTGCCCACCAGCGCGGGCGATAGCAAATGGATGGTAAACTCTGTCGTACTCTGAGGAATTTCTTAAACAAATTAATAAACCGAGAGAGAAGTCATAATTAATGCCTCTGGATTTGCAGGCCCTCTGCAAGGCGCTTTGAAATACTACACCAGTGGACACGATGTTCCTCCCTCCTGGGTTTGAACACGGTGTCTGTTTATCCACAGAGGTATTTAGGACCTAACTATTCTATACCAGCATAAGTGATCCACTCCATGTTATCTGTGTGCGTTCCTGAGAGCGTTGGTGTTTCTCCTTGTCGTGCTGTTGAGATAAACTATTATCACTAAGGCAGGTTAAAATGAAAGTTCAACGACTGTAAAATTCATCTAAAGAATACTTAGTTTCAATACTTAGAACGTCTTAGATGTAGAGTTAAAGCCAGAGACACCGAATAAAGTTATTTTGTAGCCTGAGAAAGCACATTGTTGTCACTTATATCTTTGCTTTCTTAAAGTTGGTGACAACTACAGCTCAAAACTGTTTTTTAGGAAACCTACAGTGTCCTGACTTTCATCCATTTGCATGGGGGTGAATTTTTTTTTTTTTTTTTTTTTTTTTTTGTAGGCCTTCTTTCAAAATGTAGACATTAGTTTTTGGTTTTAATTGTTTAATGGGGGGTTTCTTCAGTGAGGACTACAAAAGTTGCCTTTTGTGTTTTAGGGAACAGGTTGGGTCAGCACCAGAAAACCTGTTCATCCATCCGTCTATAATTACAGTGTCACTTAAGACATAATAATCGGGTTTTATTATTACTAAGAGACTCAGAAAAGCTCACATGGGCCTAGTTTAATTTTTTTCTCATGTAACTAAGAACAAATTTGTGTGCAGACACACATCAAGTGTGATACTCTATGCAGCCATGCCAATGGAGAATCCAAAGTGTTTTATGGTTTAAAATATTATTGCTTGTGTTTACGTTTCCACATTTGAGACAAACTTAGACTCCAAGTTGAATTCGTTAAATTTTGTTTCCAACATTCTGTTCTTCCTCTGGGCACAGAATTCCTATGAAATGAAGCACTGGGTTCTGTTCTAGATCAAGAAAAGAATATCTCAAGGTTTCTCCTGGGGTCGGTGGGGGCGGGGAGTAAAATCATTTTCTCATTGAGTAAGGGTGTGTTACTTTATCATAAAAAACTTCTTTCTTATTTTCATCGTAAGCAAAAAAATCGCCCTTGCATTTATCACTGTTGCGGTTCATTAGGCCTGTATTTGATATATCTATTTATGGAAACTGAGAGAGAATAGCCTTGCTGCACCTTCTGGTTTTCTGCTTGGTGAGGGGGATGCACAGGTTAGGGAACATCCCAGATCTCACTTAGAAGAAGCTGAAGAGAATAGGTCACTGGGGTGGAGGAAGTGGAGGAAGAAAGTGAAATGTATTCACTTAAATGTTTGTCTTAATATAAAATCCCAGCAGCAATACTGATTATAGAGGATGTTACATAGGAAGATTTTGAAGTGGTGGCCTTTTAGGCCAAAAAGCTTCATATTTTTGGAAATCTAGAATGTGCCGTCCAGCGCAGAAGCCACTAGCCACATGGGGCTGTTGAGCATTTGAAATGTGGCTAGTTAAGTATAAAATACATTCTAGATTTGGAAAACTTTGTAGGAAGGGAAGAATGTAAAACATCTGATTAATATTTTTATATGGATTATATGTTGCAATGCTAATATTTTGGATATATTGGTTTCAATAGAATATACTGTTAGATTAATTTCACCTGCTTCTTTTCCCTTTTTAAAAATATGACTACTAGAACACCTAAAATAACAAATGTGGCTTGTGTTGTATTTCCATTGGGTAGTGCTGTTCTAGAATAAAGCAGGGAAGCAGCATTCTGAGAGAAAGCTGAAAGAGTTTGCTGGTTAAAATATAATAAAATTGACTTTTATTTTTACAAGCTAAAGAAGTTTATTATACATAGAAGTACCTTGTCTTTCTTATCCATTGTAACCAAAATTTGAGAAAACACACTACCTAACATCTATTTTTATTTCCTCAAAACTACTATTTAGTTTAGAGATTTAATGGTGAGGTAGTAATAAGAGAGAAAAGGCTTATAATTAGGGGATGAGTTTTAACACCTCTCAAAGGCCAGAATAGAGTATGATTGCTACTTAGGAACATTTTAGAGACACTATAGTTATCATTGTCCTGAAGTTTCCAAACATAAACGAGTCACTAAAATTTATTTTAAAATAGAGTTTTTGGTAAATAGCAATTATCCTCAAATGCTTAATACGTATTTTCCTTTCCTATGACTTTCCTTCCTTAGAAAATAAAAACATCAAGTAAATCCAAACAAACTCCTGACCACATGTTAATCAAAGATTAATAAATTCACAAGAATGAGATTTTCACTTGTAGGCTATGAGGCCTTGTTTTGAATGTTAAGAAAGGTAAAAATAGGTTTCTGTGGTAGTATGGTTTTTGAAAGATTTCTATACACGGAGATAATTGTCTTTATAATTTGAACACATTCTTGAGAAAGCATCTGACTAGCAAACAAAGCACAATGGCAGAGGTCCTGGAAACATTCCCCTCAGATATTTTCATAACCAAAGTACATTTTGCCATACACAGTGAGTGTTACGCTGAAAAAATGCAGTTCTTTTCTACCCATATAAAGCATGCTTACTTTTACTTCCTTGAAGGCTGCTAAGGATATAGGACAGGGTGGATATAGTGGGGTTCTTTTTTGGGGGGAGGGCAGCTTTTATAGAGGAGCTTGGAAGAGTGACCTCCTGGCTAGGTGCCATCTTGAATCTGTCTCCTGCTGTATGAGGCGTAACCGCCATTAGTGTCCATGCATGTATGGAGTGTGAGGGGGAGCACTGATCGCCATTAACTTCGTGTATAATTTCTGATGAGTCATGGAGCGTATTCACTAATGGTTGGAGAACTATTGATTGCAAAGCAGAGAATTCAAGAAGAGCTATTGATGTATGGCATTAAGTGTGTCTAGACATATTTTATGTTTTTAGATGAGATAGGGAAATTGATTTTTATGTAGTGTTTTTCATATTATAAAGATATATATTTATGTAAACATTTCAGCTATATCCTTGAAAAAACACTTAGCAAATACATGGTTACAGTGTTTTACGTATTATTATTATGAGATTTTAATGACCCTAGTACATCTCTTACAGATAATTATTCACATTTTCCAGGAGGCATCTTAACACATGTGTCTGTGACATCCATAAAAATGAAGAATCTTTAAAGCATTTATGTTACAGTATTAGACATTACGTATTTGGCACTTTCCCCACTGTTTTTGAGATCCTACTCAGGTTTCTGTGATTATCCTTTGTTAAAACAGTTCAAGATATATTAATCTCGTGATGATATACAGCCATATTGGATAGAGTGAAGAATTCCTTTTCCACTGAGATCAACTTTTTTTTAGAAAGGTGAAGATGTTTCTGAAATAACTTATGCTTCCAGTAGTGTATATGCTCCCAAGGAAAAACTGTCGTCTCTTTGGACATTGTTTTAAGAAATTGAGAGTTATATCGTCTATATACCCAAAGAGGTGAATAAGAGTTGATAAGGGTAATACTCCCATGAAATGTGGACACAATTTTTATGTAAGAGTTTGTGTGAAGGCTGAGTGTTCCCAAGACCATGCTAATTTATTCAAATAATCTGGAAGTTAAATAATGCCATATTATTGAAAAGAATTGTGCTAAATATCATAATCTAAAGGCTGATGTCTATGCAGATATCAAGTCCGTTCCATTCCTTCTCTAGCTGATATTTCTTCCTCCGAAGGACTTTTAAGAGAAACTTATAGTTGTTTTTTTGGGTTTTTGTTTTTTTTTTTAAAGATTTTATTTATTTGATACAGAGAGAGACAGTGAGAGAAGGAACACAAGCAGGGGGAATAGGAGACGGGGAAGCAGACTTCCTGCTGAACAGGGAGCCCAATGCGGGGCTCGATCCCAGGACCCTGGGATCATGACCTGAGCCGAAGGCAGACACTTAACAACTGAGCCACCCAGGTGCCCCAAAACTTATGTTTAAAACTGGGTTTTCTTTATATTCTCAATTTTAAAACAGTTTGGGAGGTATTAACTAAGATTGAACTTGTTTTAAAGAGCTAACAAGACCCGAAGATCGTGGGAACAAGTTTAATCATATGAAATAAACATTACATTGCTGATTTGAGATATTCTATTTTGTAATGTTATTTTTAAGTGTATACATACTAGAGCAAAAATAGCAAGCTAGGCTCAGGGAAATCTACCAAACTTAATCAAAATATACCTGGTCTTCAAAGAAGTGGTAGTCTGGTAGCAGAAGTGAGAGTTTTGAAAATAACTGTAAAGTAGAAAGTGGTATTTCATAAACAGTGGCTTGGTAACATGGTTTGGAAGTACAGATAAAGAAAGATAAGTTTCTGACCAATACATGTAATAAAGGGGAACAGTCTTAATGCATAAATAATGGAAAACAAAAGCTATTCTTTATTTTTCAACCGTGCAAAAATAGTATTCTGTTAAGCCAGCATTAATTATATCTATTCAGTGATATTTCCATATTTTTCATACATTTATATTTAACATCCAGAGACAGGATTTTTGTATGTGTTCAATTTCATTTCTT